CGTTCCCAGATCAAGATTTTTGGAAAATTCGGTTTGCTAATATATTTTTTTAATACCTCAAACTGCAATTTTTCATTTTGTCGATTCTGGAAAAATTGTTGAAGAAATGAAAACATTTCCAAAAAAATTTAGAACGACAAGCTCATGCACCATTATAGTTTGATTAGACATCTGAAAACACTTTTATTATATCACCTCGGATAACCGGAAAAAAATGAGAAAACAATTTCCCAAAAATTAACAACAAAAAATGTTTTAATGGACTTTATTCATAGAGAAAAATGATGTCTTGTAGACAATTATCCCTGGATCTTATATTTAAAATCAATTTTACTAAATCATCAAATAACCCAGCAAAATGGAAAAAAATTATTCCGAACATTTTTCAAAAAACTTAAAACAGACTCCATACAAATAAAAAACACAACTGTATTCAGAATATTTTCCAAATTACGAATTTGAACTCATTGTTTCGATAATTTTTATTTTTCAAATAATTACCGCATAAAGGAAACATTTTCCAAAACTTTTCCAAAAAAATGTTCAGACCGGCTTTAACCAAGTTAGCATCTGATGTCATTTTTTGTCCACTTCTTCAAACGGCCAAGTAAATCAAATTATTAAAAAAAATATCGCAACGAAAAATTTAAATGAGTATGAAATAAAAGCAAATAACATGAAAAAAATATAAGCTTATAATAAATTTGAATTGTTTAATTTCGAATTTCAAATCATCCTTTTACATCTGGTCAAACAGGAAAAAAATCTAAAATTTTCACAGACAATATTTCCGAGATTTACGTATTTGAAGTCGTTTTTGCTATGTTTTTTTTAATAATAAATTTATAGCAAATTCAAAGAATCGAAAAAAACTGGCAAGCATTTTTCAAAAAATTCAAAAAGAAGTTAAAATAGGCGCCATGAAAAAATGACAAAGTTATGTAGAATTTCCATTGCCTAATTATAAATTTAAAATAATTTTTTGGGTTTTTTTGGTTAAGCGAAAAAAATTGGAAAAGACTTTCGATAAATTATCAAATAGCTCAGCAAAATGCTATAATTTTTCAAAGTTTTTCGACATAAAAGGGAAACATTTTCTAAAAATTTCAAAAAAAAGTTGAAACCGGCTTTAAAATTGTGAAAAATTTGAAATTATGGTTATTACATCTGTTCAAACAACCGAAAAAGGTAATAATTTTCCAACAAAATCTTTTAATGGACTTCACTCTATTAGAGAAAATTGACTCGTCCAAGACGTCATTTTTGCCAAATCTCTTAAAATGCCCCAGCAAAATGAGCCAATATCATGAAAAAATGTTTCAAAGAAGCTTTAAAACGAAAGAAAATTAAAAATAATAATTTTACAGACGTATTTTACGTAGGTGTCACGAAAAAAGATAAACTTAAATATGTAGAATTTTCATTACCTAATTACAAATTTGAAATAATTTTCCTTATATGTGTTAATGGTTCCGGACAAAGATTTTGGAAAAATTCGGTTTGATTATGGAGTTTTTTTTAATATCTCGAAAATGTTTCTATTTTTTTTAGAAAATGAAGCTCAAGAAATCTATAAGAAAATGTTTTTTTAATAATTATTTTCAAAGGATTTTCAAAAACGGTAAAAACATTCAAACGGGGGATATTGAAAAATGATATTTTCGTTGCCAAAAACTGCGAAATAGATCTCTAATTCGAAAAACATAACATGTTACTGGTGCTACTTGGTGCCGGACCAAAATTTTCGAAAAATTCGGTTGGATAATGGCATTTTTTTAAATATCTCAAATATCGGCATTTTTCAATTTAAGGATTCTGGAAAATTCTTGGAATTTTAGAAAAAATGAAGTCAAAAATAACTTTTATAAGTCGAAATCTACGAGAAAATGTCTTTTTTCGCCAGCCGTCTTAAAAGATGTCACTTTTAACGTCAATTTTGGACGGAAAACTTGACGTTTTTGTGAGAGTAAAAAAAAGTTGCGTTACTAAAGTAACAACGTCATTTTTGCCTTTTTAATCCTAGCATTAATTTTTTTTTTTAATCCTAGCCTTAAAAAGTTAAAATTTTTTTGAGATTTACTTTTTGGCTGGCGAAAAAGTAGTATGTTTCATTCGGATTAAAAGTCAGTTTTTGACTCGCAATTTTGCATCCGCTCGGCTTCGCTTCGCTCCGCCTCGCAAATGCAAAATTTGCTCGTCGCAAAAAATGGCACTTTTAATCCTAATAAAACAATCTACTATTGTGTAATTTGGAAGGGTGCTCAAAAATGGTCAAAAAATTCATGGAAGAGGTTTTGAAAAATTGAAATTTTAGAAAAGTTGCCTAAAAATACTCAAATTCTGGGAAATAGATCTCGACGCGCTGATTCGAAAAACATTACATGGTAATGGTGCCGGACCAAAATTTTCGAAAAATTCAATTTGATATTGGGGTTTTTTAAATTCACCGAAAATTGTCATTATTCATTTTAAAGAATTGTGGAAAAATTGTCAGAATTTTAGAAGAAATGAAGCTGAAAATAACTTCTATAAGCCAAAATCCAGAGAAAAATGTCTGTGTAATTTCGAAGGGTGCTCAATAATGCCTAAAAAATTCATACATCATTGAAAAATTGAAATTTTGGAAAAGTTGACAAAAAATATTAAAAAAAATTCAGCGAAATAGATCTGGACGAGCTGATTCGAAAAACAATATGTTACTGATGCCACTTGGTGTTGGACCAAAATTTTCGAAAAATTCAATTTGATATTGGGGTTTTTTTAAACCCACCGAAAATTGTCATTATTCATTTTAAGAATTGTGGAAAAATTGTCCGAATTTTAGAAGAAATGAAGCTGAAAATAACTTCTATAAGCCAAAATCCACAGAAAATTGTGCGTGTAATTTCGAAGGGTGCTCAATAATGCTCAAGAAATTCATACATCATTGGAAAATTGACACTTTAGAAAAGTTACAAAAAAAATACTAAAAAAAATTCGGCGAAATAGATCTGGACGAGCTGATTCGAAAAATTCAATTTGATATTGGGGTTTTTTAAATATACCGAAAATTGTGGTTTTTCATTTTAAGAATTGTGGAAAAATTGTCCGAACTTTAAAAGAACTGAAGCTGAAAATAACTTCTATAAGCCAAAATCCACAGAAAAATGTCTGTGTAATTTCGAATGGTGCTCAATAATGCTCAAAAAATTCATACATCATTGAAAAATTGAAACTTTGGAAAAGTTGCCAAAAAATACTAAAAAAAATTCGGCGAAATAGATCTGGACGAGCTGATTCGAAAAACAAAATGTTACTGGTGCCACATGGTATCGGACCAAATTTTTCGAAAAATTCAATTTGATATTGGGGTTTTTTTAAACCCACCGAAAATTGTCATTATTCGTTTTAAGAATTGTGGAAAAATTGTCAGAATTTTAAAAGAAATGAAGCTGAAAATAACTTCTATAACCTAAAATCCACAGAAAAATGTCTGTATAATTTCGACGGGTGCTCAATAATGCTCAAAAAATTCATACATCAGTGAAAAATTGAAATTTTGGAAAAGTTGCCAAAAAATACTAAAAAAATTCTGGGAAATAGATCTGGACGAGCTGATTCGAAAAACAACGTTACTGGTCCCACATGGTGCCGGACCAAAATTTTCGAAAAATTCATTTTGATATTGGGGTTTTTTAAATCCACCGAAAATTGTCATTATTCATTTTAAAGAATTGTGGAAAAATTGTCCGAACTTTAAAAGAAATGAAGCTGAAAATAACTTCTATAAGCCAAAATCCACAGAAAAATGTCTGTGTAATTTCGAAGGGTGCTCAATAATGCTCAAAAAATTCGTACATCATTGGAAAATTGACATTTTAGAAAAGTTGCCAAAAAAATACTAAAAAAAATTCTGGGAAATAGATCTGGACGAGCTGATTCGAAAAACAATATGTTACTGGTGCCACATGGTGTCGGACCAAAATTTTCGAAAAATTCGATTTGATATTGGGGTTTTTTAAATACACCGAAAATTGTCATTTTTCATTTTACGAATTGTGGAAAAATTGTCCGAATTTTAAAAGAAATGAAGCTGAAAATAACTTCTATAAGGCAAAATCCACAGAAAAATGTCCGTGTAATTTCGAAAGGTGCTCAGTAATGCTCAAGAAATTCATACATCATTGGAAAATTGACATTTTAGAAAAGTTACCAAAAAATACTAAAAAAAATTCGGCGAAATAGATCTGGACGAGCTGATTCGAAAAACAATATGTTACTGGTGCCACATGGTGTCGGACCAAAATTTTCGAAAAATTCAATTTGATATTGGGGTTTTTTAAATACACCGAAAATTGTGATTTTTCCTTTTGAGGATTGTGGAAAAATTGTTGAAATTTTAGAAGAAATCAAGCTGAAGATAACTTCTGCAAGCCAAAATCTACAAGAAAATGTCTGTGTAATTTCGAAGAATGCTCAAAAAATTCATACGGGAGTTGAAAAATTGATAGTGTTAATGGTTCCGGATTAAGTTTTCGAAAAATGCAGTTTGAAAATGATTTTTTTTTATTTGTTACAATGCATTTCCTTGTTCTTGACGTTTTTGCTCTGAAGATAGCAGTAGAAAGTGCTGAAACATGTTTATTAATTTATGAAATCATGGCCACTTCAAGAAAAATCACAACGAATCATTCGACTATGTTTAATATTTTTGATACATTGAAAAATAAATCTAGGAAACCCCTGAAATGTATTTTGTCTTGCATCTTCGGATTGGTTAGATTCGTTATTACTCTTGAATCACCCTTATCTAGTTTGCTGTGCTATATTGGTATACTTTATCTACAATATGTACTACTTTTTAATTGCTCCTCACACCCCACCTATTGGACTAGAAAACGTTCTAGGCGTTGTTCTGCTTTGCTCTCTCCGCCTTAAAAATTTTCTCTCAATACTGTATCGATTTATCGCCTCTTATCCACCTTTGACAACCTGAAACAAATAAAACCCTTTATTTGCAGGTATTACAGAGACAAATGGACATGGAGCTCGAAATGCTCCCCGAGGGCGGCGGCAAAGACAAAGACAAAGGTCCCATAGCGCGCCTCAGCGTGCTCCAGTTGAGTTCGACACCCGTCGACCAAGAACACAAACCGGACCGAGACCACGACTTCAGCGACGACGATGACGAGATCAGCTCAGGCGAGGAAGAAGTCGCGGACCTGTCCGACAGCGAGCCGATCCGAACGAAAATGCCCCACGCCCGGCACAACCTGAAGCAACGTTTCGTCTCTCTGCTGCGCCGCTTCAGGGTGCCGGACAGCGAGGGCGGGCGCAGCGCCGACCTGTCGAACCCCAGCGACATCCAGGCGCTGTTTCAGGAACTCGAATCGCTGAGCTGCGACGAGGACTCGCCCGGGGAGCAGGACACGATGTCCATCTCCAGCACGCCGAAGCCCAGCCTGCGGCCGTTCTTCAGCAGCAGCAAGAGCCTGCTGGACTCCAACCCGGCCCACAGCAGCGAGACCGAGAAGTTCATCGACGACAAGGCCTCGGGCAGCGACGGCAACGCGGATATCTGTTTCACGGACCCCGAGGTGCAGTCGGATCCGCAGACGGGGTCGCCGCCGAGGGAGCAGTCGGGCACGTCGAGGCAGAAGATGTCGGGAGACAGCGACTTCACTAACTTGATGCAGGAGTTCAGCGAGAGGAAGTCGAAGTTGTTCAGGTCGTCGGCTTCTTCGGGCAAGAAGAAGAACTCGCTGAGCGTGAGCTCGGACGTTCCGGTGCCGGAAGTGGTTACGGTGAGTTCGGTTTTGGGCAGGGGCGGACTGAAAGAAGGAAGTCGGGCGGGAAAGAGGCCGCGATTGTTGGGTTGAGCGGCTTCAAACTTTTTATTGCTGAAAACTTCCGTTTCCTATTTGTTACACAAAAAAAGCCCATTAAGCCGATGTCGATTGAAAAGAGCGAAGTAACAAGTTTGGTTTCTTGAATAATCGCGTTCTAAAAAATTGTTGTAGTATTGCGGATGGATGTGGTAATTTCTTTTGAAAACTGTTGTCGTTGGAAGTATACATTAAATTCCGCATCCGTGCGTATTGATCACGACAAACTCTCAATTTTTCGATTTTTAGGTTCGCAGTCTTTTGATTTTACAGTTTTTTGATTTGCATTTTTCGAGTTTTAGTTTTGCGATTTTTGGATTTTTTAATTTTTCGCTTATACGATTATTAGTTTTTTGTTTCTTCAATTTTTCGAGCTTTCAATTTTTTCCATTTTTCAATTTTTGATTTTTTTTTCGATTTTTTGCTTTTCAGTTTTTAGGTTTTGAAATTTTTCGTTTTTACATTTTTTGATATTATATTTTTTTATTTTTACATTTTACGATATTTAATTTAATTTTTAGATATTTTAATGTTCCATTTTTTCAATTTTTCGATTTTTAGCGTTGTTATTTTTCCTTAATTTTAGGATTTAGCAGTTTTATAATTTTGTGATTTTTCGATTTCTCAAGCAACTTTGGGTGATACTTCAATTTGACGTAAATCAATGTAGACATGTTTAACTAATCACTTGTAAAACACTTTTTGAAAGTTTGACAGGCAACGCCAACTCTAATAATTCATTCTATTATTTATTAATTGTTATGAAAATTTTAGGTGTTGCCTCCACTGGAAATGTTATGAATTAAAATAATTGAAAAAAGCACGCGTGTCGAAAATGACGTTGCAGATCATAATGCGAGTGCAACAACAGCATCCATTAATTTCCATACCCGTGCTGACCAATCGAAAAATTGAAAAACTGAAAATGGGAAAATTGGAAATAACAAAATTGTAAAACTGAAAAAAAAATCGCACAATTGAAGAAACGAAAAATCACACAAGTGAAAAATTAAAAATCGGGAAACTAAAAATCTAAAAAACCAAAACTGTAGAAACGAAAAATTGCACACTGAAAATCGAAAAATTGGAAAAATGAAAAAATTGAGAAGAAATAAACATTGATAGTCAAAAATCGTAAAATTTGTAAAATATGAAAATCGAAAAGTTGCAAAATTGTAAAATTAAATTGTAAATTCAAAATAAAAAATTAAAATATGTACAATTTATAAAAGCGAAAGTCATAAAACTAAAAAATTGAGCAAATTGAGAAAGTCACTGAAAAATGGGGAAACATTAAAACATGAGAAATTGAAAAATTAAGAAGTCAAATAATCGAAAAATCAGAAAATTGAATAAACGAAAAATTGAGAAAAAAAGCTGACCAATCGAAAAAAAAAATGAAAATCGACAGGTCGGAAAATTGAAGAAAGAAAAAACTGAAAAATTGAAAAAATTTAAATTAGAAATTTCGAAAAAATGAGAAACTATAAATCTTGAAACTGGACAATCAAAAAATTGAAAATCAAGAAGTGAAAAATTTAAAGAATTAAAAATTGAAATATCTAAAACTGAATAATTATAAAACCGAAAATTTGTAAAATAGAAGGGTTAAAAATTGGAAAACTAAAGATCTAAAAAATCCAAAACTAAATATTCTAAAAACTGTAAAAACGAAAAATTGCAAAATGGAAATCGAAAACTAAAACATCGAAAAATTGCAAAACTGTAAAATAGAAAAATCGAAAATAACGAAAAATTAAAACTTGACAAATTGTAAAATCGTAAAATATTAGAAATAGAGAAATTCAGAATCAAAAATTAGAATATCTAAAAATTATAAAAACAAAAGTCATAAAACTAAAAAATATAAAAATGGGAAGAGCAGAAAAATGAAAATTCGGGAAATATGAAAATTAAAACAGGAGAAACTGAAAAATAAAGAAGTCGAAAAATCGTAAAATTGAATAAACGAAAAATTGAGATGCTGACAACTTCAAAAATTGAACAATAAAAAAAACTTGAAAATTTTAAATCAAAAGGTCGAAAAATAAAAGAAACAAAAAACTGAAAAATTAAAAAAAATTAAATTGAAAATTAGAAAAATTCAAATTGAAAAAATGGAAAATTAAAATTCGAAAAATTGAAAAAATTAGTTATTAAAATATGTATCTAAGATTGAAAAATTATAAAACCGAAATTTGTAAAATTGGAAAGTTAAAAATCAAAAAAATTAAAACTGAATTTTCTAAAAACTGTAAAAACGAAAAATTGCAAAATGAAAATTGAAAAATCAAAAAATTGAAGAAATAAAAACTCAAAAATATAAAAATCGAAAAAGAACGAAAAATTAAAGCTAAAACTTGAAAAAATGTAAAGTCGTATATTTGTAAAATTGAAAAATTGAAAAGTTGCAAAATTAAAATATCTAAAAATTATAAAAGCGAAAATTACAAAACTAAAAAATTGAAAAATGATGTCACTGAAAAATGGGAAAAATGGAAAAATTAGAACACGGGAAATTGAAAAATTAAAAATCGGGAAACTAAAAATCTAAGAAACCAAAACTGAACTTAAAAATTACACAATGAAAATCGAAAAATTGGAAAACTGTAAAATGGAAAAATTGAAAAATTGAAAAATTCAGAAGTTTAACAATGAAAAAAATTGAGAAGAAATAAACATTGAATAGTCTAAAAATCGTAAAATTTGTAAAATATGAAAATCGAAAAGTTGCAAAATTGTAAAATTAAATTGTAAATTCAAAATAAAAAATTTATAAAAGCGAAAGTCATAAAACTAAAAACTTGAGCAAATTGGGAAAGTCACTGAAAAATGGGGAAAAATTTAAAACATGAGAAATTGAAAAATTAAAAAGTCAAATAATCGAAAAATCAGAAAATTGAATAAAGGAAAAATTGAGGAAAAAAAGCTGACCAACCGAAAAAGAAATGAAAATCGACAGGTTGGAAAATTGAAGAAAGAAAAAACTGAAAAATTGAACACTTGAAAAATTGCAAAAAATTTAATTTCGAAATTTCGAAAAAGTGAAAAATTAAAAATCTTGAAACTGGAAAATCGAAAAATTTAAGCAGCAAAAGTTGAAAAATGGAAAAATTGAAAAATTAAGGAAGCAAAAAATTGAAAATCAAGAAGTGCAAAATCGAAAAATTTAAAAAATTAAATATTGAAATATCTAAAATTGAAAAATTATAAAACCGAAAATTTGTGAAATTGAAAAGTTAAAAATCGGAAAACTAAAGATCTAAAAAATCCAAAACTAAATATTCTAAAAACTGTAAAAACGAAAAATTGTAAAATCGTAACATTGGAAAATTGTAAGATTTAAAAATCGAAATATTAGAAATAGAGAAATTCAGAATCAAAAATAGAACATCTAAAAATTTTAATAACGAAAGTCATAAAACTAAAAAATTGAAAAATGGCAAGAGTAGAAAAATGAAAAATCGGGAAATATGAAAATTAAAACAGGAGAAATTGAAAAATTAAGAAGTCGAAAAATTGTAAAATTGAATAAACGAAAAATTGAGATGCTGACAACTTTAAAAATTGAACAATCGAAAAAACTTGAAAATTTTAAATCAAAAGGTCGAAAAATTAAAAAAACAAAAAACTGAAAAATGAAAGAGTTGAAAAATTGAAAAAATGGAAAATTAAAACGCGAAAAACTGGAAAATAGAAAAATTTAAACATTCAAAAGTCAAAAAATTGAAAAAATTAGTTATTAAAATATCCAAGATTGAAAAATTATAAAACCGAAATTTCTAAAATTGGAAAGTTAAAAATCAGGAAACTAAAAATCAAAAAAATTCAAAACTGAACTTTCTAATAACTGTAAAAACGAAAAATTGCAAAATGAAAATTGAAAAATCAAAAAATTGAAATAAAAACTCAAAAATATAAAAATCGAAAAAGAACGAAAAATTAAAACTAAAACTCGAAAAAATGTAAAATCGTATATTTGTAAAATTGAAAAATAGAAAAGTTGCAAAATTAAAATATCTAAAAATTATAAAAGCGAAAATCACAAAACTAAGAAATTGAAGAATGATGTCGCTGAAAAATGGGAAAAATGGAAAAATTAAAAATCGAGAAATATGAAAATTAAAACACGGCAAATTGAAAAATTAAGAAGTCCAATAATCGAAAATCGTAAAATAGAATAAACAAAAAAAATTAAGAATCAGAAGGTCGAAAAATTGAAGAAATTAGATATTAAAATATATAAAGTTGAAAAATTATAAAACCGAAAATTTGTAAAATTGGAAAGTTAAAAATCAGGAAACTAAAAATCAAAAAAATTCCAAACTGAACTTTCTAAAAACTGTAAAAATGAAAAATTGCAAAATGAAAATCGCAAATTAAAAACTTGAAAAATTGCAAAACTGTAAAATTTTAAAAATCGAAAAACTGAAAAATTCAGAAGTTGAAAAATCAAAAAATTGAAGAAATAAAAACTCAAAAATATAAAAATCGAAAAAGAATGAAAAATTAAAACCAAACCTCGAAAAATTGTAAAATCATAAATTTGTAAAATTGAAAAATCGAAAAGTTGCAAAATTAAAATATCTAAAAATTATAAAAGCGAAAATCACATAACTAAAAATTGAAAAATGAAGTCACTGAAAAATGGGAAAAATGGAAAAATTAATAATCCGGAAATATGAAAATTAAAACACAGGAAATTGAAAAATTAAGAATTCCCGTAATCGAAAATCGTAAAATAGAACAAACGGAAAAAAAATAAAGAGTCAGAAGGTCGAAAAATTGAAGAAATTAGATGTTAAAATATCTAAAATTGAAAAATTATAAAACCGAAAATTTGTAAAATTGGAAAGTTAAAAATCAGGAAACTAAAAATAAAAAAAAATTCTAAACTGAACTTTCTAAAAACTGTAAAAACGAAATATTACAAAATGAAAATCGGAAACTAAAAAATCGAAAAATTGTAAAATCGTGAATTTGTAAAATTGATAAATCGAAAAGTTGCAAAATTAAAATACATGTCTGAAAATGATAAAAGCGAAAATCACGAAACTAAAAAATTGAAAAAGGGGGAAAATGGAAAAATTAAAAATCGGGAAATATGAAAATTAAAACACGGGAAATTGAAAAATTAAGAACTCCAATAATCGAAAATCGTAAAATAGAATAAACGAAAAAAAAATTAAGAATCAGAAGGTCGAAAAATTGAAGAAATTAGATATTAAAATATCTAAAATTTAAAAATTATAAAACCGAAAATTTGTAAAATTGAAAAATTGAATAATCGAAAAACATTAAAAATTGAAAAACTAAAATAGAAAAATCAAAAAATAAAAATACGAGAAATTGAAAAATTAAAGAGTTTAATAATTGAGAAATCGTAAAATTGAATAAACGAAAATTTGACAAATTCAGAAATTGAACAATCGAAAAAAATTTTAAAATATTAAATTAGAAGGTCGAAGTATTGAAAAAAAACAACTGTGAAATTGAAGAAACAAAAATTAAAAATCGAGAAACTGAAAAATCAAAAAATGTAAACAATCAAAAGTTGAAAAATTTAAACTTCGAAAAATCGGATGTTTGAGAAATCAAAAATCACAAACATTAAAAAAATTAAAAATTCAAAAATCGAAGGGCAAGGGAACATGGTCCTACTAAATTCTACTGCACGGTTTAAATTTTTAACGTTGACAGAATGCTGTGATGTCAAGTAGTACCACCTACAACTTTCACAATCAACTCTGATTCGTTTTATTTTCGTTAGCAAGGTGTTTTCACTAAAAAATTTTCATTGGTAATGATATTCATTTCACCTAATTTATACATAATCTCCTTCATTGCTCGAGATTTACTGTCATTATTTTTCCATCAATCGTTCTAAATTAAATTAGTTTCATTAGTAGTATTGTTTAAAACAAACTCTGTTTTAGCAAATTTAAGATTATGCATTCTTAAAAAATATATTTGGCACAATCTAATAGAGCTAAAATTTAAAATTATTTTCAGATATATAGAGTACGTCGTTTGAAAGCTATACACCGTAGTTGCATTTTAATTCCCGGTTAATTTTATAATATTCAAGTATTCAAAAATAAATAATAAATGCAGTGAAAGCTATCGTCAATTGTATGTAAATATAAACTGCAGAAGCTGTGCAATCGAAGACCTTTACAATTCTTTAAATCGGCCGTTGAACTTCACAAGACTGTAAAACTACTTTCCAATAAACCAATATTTGTTGCGGTATCGGTTATGACTTGCAATCGCATGCACCACACATCAAACAAGAATGTTATCCAGAACAGAAATAGCAGCAATTTCGGAGAAAAATTTATTGTAACTTTTACCTGAACTAAATCTGATCGTAATAGTTCTGAGACTTTTATTTGTGGCGATGACTAGTGTTTTGACCAAAGATGACTAATGCAAATAGAAGCACTTCTCTCAACTGCCTAACAGCTGTCGATCGACCTTTTCAAATGCTGAAAATTCTGGAGTATCATGAAGCGTCAAATAGCTACTACTTATTCTGTCAAGTAGCAATAGCGAATTTTAAACAAAAATAAATACGTTTAAAGGTTTAAAGGAACAGTTTCTTACATGCTGTAGTCAATGCATAGTTATTTAGGCTTAATAGCCTTGACAGACAGTGAACCGAGAGTCCTAAGATGACTAAATCCAGCACACCCTTTACAATACGCAAATCTCTTGACACTTGACATTAACGGCCATTTTTTATTACTAAAGTTTGTTTACGACTCTATAATGTAATTTGCGTCGAGATTTTGCTCCCATGACAATTTAGTTCCTAAATAAAATTCTACTCGTCGAAAAAATTTGACGAAATGTCTGTTTGGTAGTTTTTTTTTTAATTCAGCTGTTATTACTCCAAAATGATAAAATCCTTTGTACTCTTAATCTCGAATAGTATAGGCAGTACTTTCATTATTATGTTGTATAATGCAAACATCTGGAATATTTATCGGGCTATAAATGTGTTCCTTTATCAATTACCAGGGAAGGTTGGAAGTGTACTATAGAGTGTTTTAAAAAACGATATTTTTTATTGCCCAGATTTTACGAATATTTGTCGTGGTTATCTAAATCATACTGTTTGACAAAATCTCCGTTAACGATATTTTATTGAATTTATCAACTTAGATAAATAGAAATTCGACTGTATTGTAAAGTAGAACACAGAATTAAATAAATGAAAGAATGAAGGTTTTATACTGCCAAGTTGGTAGGAAGAAAAACTTCAAATTTATTAAGTATTATTGTTATTAAGAGAAACATTATTTAATGTTGCTAGTATTAATGGGAAAATATTGTCACAGGAAATAATATTTGAATCAGTCCGCCTCTGTTTTCTTTTTTTATACAATTTTTGGGAATGTACACTGACGCTACGGTTGCCTAGGCGCGAAAAATATTTCTCGAACAAGTCACTCGAGTCCTCCCTCTGGAAGAAACCGCTCTTCCGGAAGCAGTTGTATTAATCACAGGCCCTGACAGTATTACTGGACCATTATCAGCCCGACTCACCCATCATCGTATTTTTCTGCCATTATCATCAGTCGAAGTCAAAGCAGTCCTCACAGCCGTATTCAACAAAATCCACAAATAGTGAGTCGACAACTCCGAAAACCCAAACAATAATTAACTGTACAATTTCAGTTGCAACAGCTGTGCCAAGCCGGGAAGCTTTGTTAAATTAGTATTGATAGGAGGAGACACCCTGATTGGCTGGGTGATCCGTCCTTACGTCGAATTGTTGTCGAGTAAACCGCCGGAATGGTTGAATTACACGAGAATCTACATTGTTCCGGTGGGTAATTGCGGGTTAACGAGACATCTCGCTAATCTCGATCAAGGATACGCATCTCTGTTTCCCACCGATCAGGAATTGAAAATTGATGAACTCACTGGGAGATTACAGAGATACTTATCGGTTCCATCGTCGGCGCCGATTGCCCAACTTCCTCTCGGAGAAGCGATGCTGACGTGCCAGGATGACTCCAGTCAGCTTTTCGTACCATTTTTAAACGTAAGACGAGATTTATTTATTTATGCATTCGTTGTCTTGCGTATTCGTGTGGAATGGAGTCATTTCTTACATATGCGGCAAATGCAGATCACGCAAGTGAGAAATGGCCCATTTCGCGTGAATTGTAAACTATATTGTTTCTGCTATGTTACCTTTTTACTTTCTGAGTTACCAGATTTTTCAATGTTATAAATCCGTGTACAATTTTTTTCCCAAGCATCTAGAATTTTGGGAAAAAAATCAAAATTGTGTAACAACATTTTACAATTTAGCTTTGAAACTGCAAAACCGAATGCCTGAAATCTTGCAACTGTTTTAAGGTTATCGTAACCATGGTAAATCGTTAATCAAAATTTATTCGTTTATCCCCTTCCAAAAAATTGATGAGGTTATCTCAAAATTTTGTGGAATAAATCCTCTCGTCACTTTTGATGACTCAAAAAAAATAAATAAAATAAATGGGACAGTCTATTGTATTTATTTAAATCAAGAACGATTCACAAAACCAAATCTTATCATTTTTCGTAAAATCTGGATTTATTTACCTTCGACCAATTTTTTGATATCACAATTTTTGTTTTTTTTTTCATTTTCTTTATTTTTTTCAATTTTTCTATTTCTCACTTTTTAAAATTTTTAATTGTTCGGTTTGCATTTTTCAATTTTGTAATTTTTCGATATTACAATTTTTCGATTTTTCAGTTTCATTTTCCTGATTTTTTAACTTTCATTTCCCAATTTTAGATGACAATTTTTCATTTTTTCATTTCCTTTATTTTTTCAATGTTTGTTTCAATTTTGTAATTTTCTTTGTTTAATTTTTAAAATTCTCACTCTTTGATTTTTCAGTTCCACTATTTTCCAATTTTAAAATTTTTCAATTTTATGATTTTTGGATTTCTTAATTATCCAATTTTCTGATTTCTTTAATTTTGAATATTTCGTGTTTTCGATTTTGCACATTTTAGATTTTTAAATTCTCAGTTTTTAATTTTTCGATTTTTCACTTTTTCGTTTCTTCAATTTTCCGAGTTCTTGATTTTCAATTTTTAGATTTTTCAAAGTTTTCATTTTACACTTTTTCGTTTTGTTTATTTCTGGTTTTTCAATTTTACTATTTTTCCATTCTTTTGATTCGAAATATTGAAAAATTAAAAATCGGGAAACTTGAAAATTGAAAAAAATTAATGAATCAAAAAATTGGAAAGAAAAAACGAATCGAATCGAAAAATTATAGAATCGTCAAAATTGTAAAGTCGAAAAACTGTAACATTGGAAGATCGAAAAAATGAAAAATTAAATATCGGAACATTCAAAATATAAATCGAAAAATTGAAAAATCGAATAAATGAAAAAGTTTAAAATCGAAGAAATGAAAAATAGAAAAATTCTAAAATCGTAAAATCGGAAAAGTGAAAAATTTTAAAAATTATAATTATTATTACATATTTAAAATGAACAATTTTTCGGTTTTGAAATTTTTCAATTTTTCTATTTTTCACTTTTCATTTTCCCGATTTTAGGTAAGACTTTTTGTTTTTTCATTTCCTTTATTTTTTTTCAATGTTTTTTTTTCGATTTTATAATTTTGTTTTCTCAATTTTTCAAATTTTCAAACTTTGATTTTTCAGTTCCACGATTTTCCGACTGTAAAATTTTTGTATTTTGCAACGTTTGGATTTTTTAATAATCCGATTTTCTGATTTCTTTAATTCTGAATATTTCAATTTTACAGTATTTCGTTTTTTCGATTTTGTACTTTTTAGATTTTTAAGTTTCTCAACTTTTAATCGAGTTTTCAATTTTTAGATTTTTAAATGTATACCTTGTATACTCTTTTGTTTTTTTTTTTTAATTATTTTTCAATTTTACAATTTTTCCTTCTTTTGATTTGAAAACTTGAAAATCGAAAAACTGAAGAAGCGAACAATTGGAATTTTAAAAAACTAAAAATCGAGGAACTTAAAATTTGAAATAAATTAATAAATCAAAAACTTGGAAAGAAGAAAAATCGATTCAAATCGAAAAGTTGGAAAAGCCAAAAATTACTAACATCGAATAAATGAAAAAGTTTTAAAATGCAGTAATTGAAAAATGGAACAATTCTAAAATCGTAAAATAGAGAAAGTGACAAATTTTAAAAACTATAATTATCATTATAACATATTTAAAAAAAAAATTAGGAAAATTGCAAATCAAAAATCGAAACCAAAAATTAAAAAATCGAGAAACTGGAAAATCTAAAATTTCGAAAAAACGAAAAATTATGGAATTGTTAAAATTGTAACATTGAAAGATCGAAAAAGTGAAAAATTAAATATCGGAACATTAAAAAAATAAAAATCGAAAAATTGAAAAATCGAATAAATGAAAAAGTTTAGAATCCAAGAATTCTAAAATCGTAAAATAGGAAAAGTGAAAAATTTTAAAAATTATAATTATTATTACATATTTAAAATGAACAATTTTTCGATTCGTATTTTTTCAACTTTGCAATTTTTCGATATTACAATTTTTCATTTTTCCGATTTTAGGTAAGACTTTTTGTTTTTTTCATTCCCTTTATTTTTTACAATGTTATTTTTGATTTTGTAATTTTGTTTTTTCAATTTTTCAAATTTTCAAAATTTGATTTTTCCGTTCCACGATTTTCCAATTGTAAAATTTTTCTATTTTGCAATGTTTGGATTTCTTAATTATCCGATTTTCTGATTTCTTTAATTTTGAATATTTCAATTTTACAATATTTCGTTTTTTCGATTTTTAACTTTTAATCGAGTTTTCAATTTTTAGATTTTTTAATGTATACCTTTGATACTCTTTTGGTTTTTTTTATTATTGATGTTTCAATTTCACAAATATTCCTTCTTTTGATTTGAAAAGTTGAAAAATCGAAGAACTGAAGAAGCGAACAATTTAAATATTAAAAAACTAAAAATCGAGAAACTTAAAAGTTGAAAAAAATTAATGAATCAAAAACTTGGAAAGAAGAAAAATCGAATCAAATCGAAAAGTTGGAAAAGCCAAAAATTAACTGGAAAATCTAAAATTTCGAAAAAACGAAAAATTAGAAGTTCAAAAACCGAAAAATTGAAAAACTTCAAATTGAAAAATTGAAAAAATAGATTAAAAAAACAAAAAATTGTAAAATCGGAACATTGAAAAATTGGGAAATTAAACATTGAAAACTCAAAAAATTGCAAATCAAGAAACTAAAGAAAAAAAATTAAAAATTGATGAACTGAAAAATTTAAAATAAAAAATTGGGGGAATGTTATTTACGCCGCTGTTTCTAATTTTATGAGGTTATAAGAAAACAGAAATCGCAAAAAAAGTATAATTTTTTCAAAGGAACGAGATTTTTGGCTATACTTCAAGGGCGAGGGAAGTTCTGTCGAGATAACGTTCGATAATTTTTTCGTTTAACGCTATTTTATTAATTAACTGCAAAAGAAGCTATATGTGGACCAGTCAATTAAATACTATTAATTTCTTAATTATTATTTAATCGATTATTATTATTATTATTTCATCTTTTCTTTGCATTACAACTTGATACTGATATGCATGCAATAAACATTTTCTTTAACAAAATAAGAATACAATAATTGTGACATGGTTTGTATATTGAACTTTACACTACCATATAATTTTGCACAAGTTACGTAATAACTTTTTATTTCGTGTTACCTTTTTTCCTGTTTAATTTTCAATTTAAATGCAAATTATTCCATTTTTTGTTCACTGCTTTGATATATTGTAAATAAAATATGTTTCCTGTTTCCGTTTGGTTGTCTATCTGTTTTGGACTATTACATATATTGTTCACTAAACTACGAACTTTTGTTTATCTACACATTTGTCTCAAAAAATTTGAAACATCATCATACATTTTTTGTTAAATGAATCTTACCGCTTTACGTAGATTGTTATTGTTATTGTAAAAAAAATGTACAATGAAAATTTTACGATTTATATATCTAGTTGGCCATGATGTTTACGTCAGCCGTTTCAACTGCACTGCGACATGGTCAACTAGAGCAGAAATTTAAAAAAAATCACGCAATATAAGATAAAAGTTCATTTTAATAAAATATGTTGTCAGCATTGTGAGTTGCTAATTTTATCCAGTTCTAAATTTAAGATATCAAGATTTTAAAATAAAATATTTATCGAATAAAAAGCTCTTAATTCAAGTAGCATTTCAGATGAACATTTCACGAAGGTGTTTTCAACACGACGTTAAAGTTGGTCGTTAAAGATTAAACTAATAGTTGCAGTGACTGCTTGCTTGTAAAGTGAAACGTGATTATAGTTAAAAGTGAAAACTCGTTTATATCTATAACACATTTTGACTAGCGTCCAAAATTCGTGGTTTCAATGTTAAAAAAAATGTATATTTTCTAGCATCGATTGTACCCGTAGTCCATTAAGAGAAGTAGTGTAATTACAAAAATGATTTACTATTATCAACCGTGACTTTTAGCGGTGAGGTAGTTGAACTGCTAATGATTCATCATTAAGGAAATATAATTAGAACTGACCGCAAAAGACGAAGAGCTACGATTTCCATTGGGAGTTTTTACGTATTTTGTTAGTTAAACGAACAGATAATTGAAGCACATTATTTTCCACGCATTGTATAAATAAGTTCTATTAAAACTGAAGCATTTATTCAATTTTTTGTCAACAGGAAGTAAGGGTAGGCCCTGCAGAACACGCCTTATCGATGTCTGTGGATCTTGAAGACTTAATGTGTTCCAGTCCTCCAGCCCCTTCCTTAACACCACCATCATCACCCAACGTCCAAACTCGCGATTCACCATGGGAACCACTCGAACTTCAATTAGACTACTGGCAAATTTTTAAATGTACTGAACCTATTACAGTAAAGACTGATAAAACCAAACAAGACGGTAAAACTTCACTCAAAGGGCTGTTTAGAGGGCTCCAGGCGTCACCTTCGAACACTTCTGGACTTAACATTACCATGCACATGGCAAACAAGGAGAAGAAACAGAAAAGTAAGTAGCGAAATTAACGTCTTAATATCGGTTTAGTAGAATCATGCAGGTGTGTACATAATGAAAATTGTAAAACCAGTGACTCAGTGTGTGTCAGATTTTATTTAGTAATTAACTGTTTGAAAAATTACGTGTTGAATATTGACAATGAAAACACCAGTTTCACGCTTTACACGTTGTTCCCCAAATTCGTCACATAAAATTCCATACATTGTTTCAAAATGAGAAATTGTCACGGCACATTGTAAACAAATATATGCAGCATCCTCGAGTGCCTTGAGTTACTATGCAGTTTTTAAGAGTGTACGTTCAGTATTAAAATAATTTAGATTATATAACTGGTTAGCTAGATATGTTTTCTTGTACTTCAGGGGCGAGGAAATAATACTGAGAGAGAGGAAAAACCATATAATAAAATTTCTTCAGTTGTCTTATTAACTTAAAAAATATATCTTTTTATCTTGTTTATGAAATAAGAATTTTAATTAAAGACAGAAAAAATTGTTGAAATTTGGACCCCAGAGCAACAATAATGTGGAAATAAGAATGGGCTAAAGCAAGAATCGAAAAATTCTGGAAAATTTAATTCCAAAACGAGTTTATCTTGACACAGTGCAGCAAGATGGCGTTTAAGTAACGAAAAGAAAAATGTGTGGTAAAGAAGCAGTAGATGAAGTAAAATAAAAAAAATCGATAATATTTAGTGTGAAAGAAATTCTTATTCAGTATTCAGTTATCAATTTTTGTATACATGAAAAGAAATTGATCACTTAGAATACCGAAATTTTAAAAACCTTATATCTACATGTCATTCTAAAAACAGAAGTTAAAATGAGGTTGTATTGTTGACATGCATCAGCAAAAGCCTCTTGTACCCTACTGGCAATTTGACCGGCCACTCGTTTCGTCGGCCGGTGAAAAAAACTCAATAATATATAATTTAAATATTCTTGGGAAAAAAAATTTGAAAAAGATTATTTTCTCCTACACGAAAAATCGAAAGGAAAAAATTGTCTGAACATACGCACATAAGGAAACATAAGCAAAAGAGCATAAAAAAATTAAATAAAATATGTATGTACTCACAAAATATGTAACAAAAAGACGTCAAAAAAAATTTTACGATACAAAAATAAGACAAACTTACAGATCAAAATAGCCTTCATAAAAGATAAAAAAAAATGTTTAAAAAACAACACCTGATTTAAAATTAATTCAAAATTCTAACCTTTAGGCTTCTGCTACAATTTAGCGTATTCCCTCATCTTCATTTAGGAACCCATTGCAACAAAAAACACATGAAATTTTTGTGTACACAAAGAAAAATACCATAGAAGTTAACATAAACTTTATACATACTAATTTTTAATAACGGTGCAATTCAATATTACACAGAAAAAGTTTTGAAATCACAATATAAATTCTAAGCAAAATTTTACATTTGCATCACGCAATTCTTGGTGAAGATAAACAGAAAAAAATCCTTGCAACAGACTCAAAATACACGCCAAAAAAAGTTTCAGAGAATATTTGCCTAAAAATTCGCTAACAAACAGATAGACGGAAATGGAAAATCGATATTTTCACTTCATAAACTGGGAATGTCCAGAAAACAAGAAATGAAAGTCGAATTAAAATAGCCCTGCTACACTACGTTTGGAAATTACGAACATTCTAAAATTAATTTAAACGAAACTTTAATAAACAGTTCCAATAAACTCAAATCAGTTTCAATTAAAATGTGTGAAATGTTTTGCTGATTTTGTGAAAAACAATAACGATAACATAGCAACACAATAAAAAAGGTAGCAGAGAGGAACGCGTTTTGATACATAACCTCAAAATAATAACGATAATTGCAATGAATAATAATATTAATTCCATTGTTGCGTAAAACCTAAAGCAATGAGATAAAAATGTAAATTGTATTTAATTTTTAAATAATTAACTTTGATAAAAACTCTGATAACCCAATCATCCCGCCCACCCGCCTTAAATTGACATGCGAAAAAAAAAAATGAAACCCGCGAAAAATTCAAAATTTGCCCTTGGCTGTGATCGTCTAACAAAATGGAACCCTACATTGTGGTTTTAAAAAATGGCGGGATGGGTTCAGATGCAAATGGAAAAAATTATTCCTCCACTGACAAAAAAAAAAAAGAAAGAAAAAGCTGGGACTAAGTCGCGCAGGTTGAAGACCTTCTTAGTACTCAGCTACAAAAAAAACCTTTGAATGACTTGGAATGAAATCAAAATAAACGTTCTAAATCAATGCAAATATTTGAATATCACAAATTTAATAAAAACAAATAAAAAATCTGAATTAAAGTAACTGGATCCAAATATATAAGTTTTTACGGGCGTGTGGCGGCAAATTTAAAATTATGGCAGTCAACAAGAGAACAAAATTTTAATAAACGAACTATGCAGCTCTATTAGGGTTGGCGATCGGACTGTCAATTTCATTGTAGAGCACAACGAAAATACCCATAGGGGGCGTTGTAGCACGAGCGGAGTTTGGGGCTCCCGGTCGTGGCTGTTCTCCTACCCACGACGATGATTCTATCTATTGCAAGCACTGCCACAAAGCACTTCTTTATTACGGACAGGCCGTTACGGTAGCAAGCTCGTGGTTGCGACTCGTCTATGGACAGAAGCCGACAGCGCCACGTCATCTCGACCGCCTCGGACTTCTATTCAAACATGCATCCTTTATGCAGGTGGCGCGATAAATCCCGCCAGCTCGACTAGGAACCGGGCCCTACGCTTCTGATACGTGTTATGGCATTATTAACCTCAATTCCATTTAAATGTTCATTTTCTATGACTCTGCTATTAAACTACAACTGAACAAGTGTCCAAGTTTCAAAAAGAGCAATAAGCAACATTTAAATTCGCCATACACTCTTGTGAAATTTGAAACAACAAAGAATTCTTATCTGAGATTAAGATTGGACAGCAGACAATTTTATGATGGAAGCATCAGTCAACAAAATATTTACAAAACAAAAAAAACTAGCAAAATTTATAAAAACAAAAAATCTGGTGTGAAATAAAACTTGTGCAGACAAAAAATTACGTGAGGTTAGAAACTGCGAAGCATGAAAATTTACGTTGAATTTAAATTATACAACAAAGAAAATTATTGAGTGAGGCTAAAATTGTGAGATGTAAACATTGTGTGAGGTGAAAATTTGCAAAGCTAACAAAATTACAGAGTTTAATATTTTATGTCCATTCGAGTTATTGGTTATTATTTTTTTTTAAGTGACATTATTCAGCTGCGTTGTGGGCCATTGTTATAGATTCCCTCAAACAAACAAAAAAATACCAGGCAATCTGGAAGTTCAAAATAGCGTCGGACGAATGCGTCGTTCAAAAAATTATGCGTCAAAAATAAGTCTCCCAGAAATGCGATCAATCCTGTGAGGTTATGCAAATAATGGTCTAAATCAAAGGAATAAAATGCATTTCCACATGGCCGCTGTCAGAACAAAAAATTTACGTTATGTTAAATTATGCCACCCTTTATCAACGATTCAAACAAAGAATTTACATTATGTTAAATTATGCCTTGATCCAAGTGATTGATTACTTAAAACAATTAGCTTTGAGAGTTTATATCGTGGACTGTTTATCCCAAACAAAACCCATGATAAATAAATAACACAAAATGTATCAGGCGTTGCTAGGAAAGCTCCTCGGTGATGTAATTTTTAGCGTTGCGAGAAAGTATGTCTGATGTGATGATGATGATACGATGATAATAATGATGATAACTGCCTAAGGAGAGACATTTTTAATCCCTGTACCTCACTCCACGATATCATGAATTCTGCCGCAGTTTTCTACGGTCTATTAGCAATCTTGTGTGAAGAATTAAGAAATGTTATAATTAATACTTCAGTATATGCATCCAGAAACTTCATTCATAACTTTGTAAACAAAAGATGTTATCCTGACTAAGTGAATTTCATGAAATCTCCTAGTAAATGTTTATCTAAACAAATTCCTGATTGTTAAATTGTGTTCGAATTAGTTAACGATTAAACTCCTAACATGAACTATGAATTTACAAACAATAAAACAAATTTACACAACGTGTTAGCGTCGGTCGAAAATTCACTTATTTCCGCTCGGAAAAAACCGCAAGAATTAGCTCCGCGCGTTGGGGAAACTGTAGCGTAGTCGTCGTTACGATTAATTCTCGTTAAACAAAGCCTTTCCCTTTTTTATAACTACTAAACCAACTAACGTAACCTAGCTAACTCACCACGTGGTTACACTCACAACACACACACACACCAATTCAAATTGAAATTATTCAAATGCGATTTCTTGCAGGTGTTAATTTTTTTTCAGCCCTATATTTTAATTCAAATTCGGTCACCACAAAACCTATTATATATTCTAAATTATTTCAGCCGAAAACGCCAGTTTTAAAAAATAAATATCTGACGAGATATTAACGTTTGAGTTCTTGTTCAAACAAACATATTTATGAAGTCGTTAAGTAACGATTTGTATAATACAGCTACTTCTCCCTTACCATAATGTATTTTTATATCAACTTAGAATAAAAGAACTAAAAATAAGGAACAATACATTGAATAATAATAGACGGATGTACAAAGCCTAGTAGAAACGCTTACCCTTTAAACCCTGCAGACTTCTTCCTCATAGGCACATCACAGCAATCACTTTTCACCTTAAGCCCGAAACCAAATTATTTTTAACAAAAATAAACCACTTAAACTAATTTTCACACCGCACACCTCAACAAAATCCAAACCGACGGAACTCCTTTGCGTAACGCGAAAAATGAACAAAAAATTCTCGCCGATACCTTATCAGATATTTTTTGCAGAGTTTTTTTTCATCGATGCGTCGCACACTATATGAATCTTAATTCAAATACTGCAACATTATTCATTAGTAGAACATAATTTTCGCGCTTAGAGAACTCGATTTAAATACATCTTTCCAAAATATTTTATTTTTCGGCAATTAATGACACAACACAATTAAATTTTTTTCACCATATCTGCCAAAATACTCATCTTAAATGGATTCATACCGGGTGTTTCAACGGCCAAAATTAAACATTCGAGAGTAGAAAAAACCTTCAACGCAATCTAATAAAGCTATAATTTAGAAGTATTTTCAAACATATAGTGTTCCATTTAACTTATACAACAAAGTTGTATGTTTACTTTCGGAGCGTAAGTTAGAAAAGGATTGTAATTGAATCCGTTTGGCTACTTTCATGTTTTATCGACGTTTCATAATCATAACAAGTTTATTTCGGCAGAACTTAGCTCGCCCCTCAACCAACGGGTAACGTTCTTCGCAGCCCATGCGCCACGGAGACAAATTGCAACGTACCGTGGTCCGCACAAATGCGATCGATAGGAAATATATTTACACCAGAACCTACGGGAAAATGAACTCTTAGTAATTGAATGGTTAACTTCGAGTATTTATGTTTATCCTTAGTAAGAATTCGACTATAATCATTAATCACGTACGCGCATCAGTGGCCGCAGAAAAGAAAATTAAATTTGATTAATTTTGTCTCCTTAAACCAGAGGAGCGGACTAAAGTAATACAGCAGAATTTGACAGAAAACAAAAATCTACAGGTGTACTCTTCTCAAGGGTAGCAAAGGACTACCATATCTTTCTTTCTAACTTGACGTTGCTGTTAGTCGTGTCCACACTCTTAAAAACGACATAACACGCCAAGGCACGCTGCAACATTATTTATTTATACCTTCCAGAAATTTCATGACGTCATGTCAAAACATTACTAAATAAATACTTAATAAGAAGTGTCTATTTTTAAGAATATCGAACTCGTTAAATTTAGGTTGTACTTAATGCTGCTATTTTTTTTCAGTTATGAGGCTCGGCAAGAAGAAGGAAAAGGAGAAAGATTCTGAGCCGCGCAGCCAAACCGTGGAAGGGATTTCGAGATTGATATGCTCGGCTAAAGCCTCCCACAACACGCCGATGAGAGGTAGATAGTAGTAGTAAAATTAAAGTTGTTTATTTAATTTGCTTTATTTTTAGTTTATGTCGACGGCGTAGAGTTCAACGGGGTGAAATTCTTCCAGCTGAGCTCAACGTGGCAGACGCACGTAAAGCAGCTGTCTGTGGCTTTGGTAGGAGTGCCATTGGCGAGTTCCGAAGTGAATTCTATGTAACAAAAATTTAAACGGACCTTCCCTTTTTTAAAACCCGCCGCTTTGCTTCCGTGTCTCGTTTCCGCGATGCATTCATCGCTTCTAGTCAAGGTTAAATCCATCGTAATCCAACCGTTGACAATACATCCAAGTAAGGCTCAAAACTCAAGTTTGAAATGAAAATTTTCAACAAGAAAACTCACGTTAAGAATACTCCGTATATGTGATATAGTTTATAGTCGTCGTTATTGATATCGATAAATGCTTGAGATTTTTTGAAAACAAAAAATACTTTTTTACAAGCTAAGGTTAACTGAGTATCTAACAGTTTGTTTATAAGCACAGCAAGATTTATTTGTGGCCAAACCACTTTTATATCGGTATAACGTATCCAACGGGTTTGCACGTCATCATGCGTGTGTTCGTTGAAGCTCGGTTGACAACCGCCATCCAGGTTCATGGGGAGTGATGTGCGAAGCCCACCATATCAGCATTTTTGCATAAATACCAAAGCAACAATTTGTGTAATTTGAGGGAAAGTTGTTTGTATTATTAATGTGTAGAGGTTTCTCGCGGTCATCGTAGTCGTTTTTTTTTTTTCGAAAAGTTACACTTAATGACTGCAGAGAATAGTTCCATGTCAAAATCAAATTTTGTTTTTGGGAATGTTGAAAGGATCTCACTAAAGTTGTTTGTTGAACTGTGATGATGTGAAAGTAGGAGGAAATATTGATATAAGAAATGGAAAACGCCGTGCAACTGTGATTTTAACGCAGCTCATTCCAACTTGTTAGCTCGGATGGATGTTCCGTCATTAATCTCATATGGAATGTGCAACAAGTTTTGGAACATCCATCTATAGTTCATCAGTGTTTGATTGTAAATGATAGAGTAGATATCTGTTGTATAAATGCAATAATGTCTGGAATTAGTATTGTTTATATATACTACATACATACAAATAAACATGAATATGTACTTTTATTATTGTTTACTTTCGTTTATAACACAGTATATTAATCTGGAGGCTGCTGTTCCGACGACTCTTTCTGCTTTCGAACCGTTCCAGCCAGGTACCTGAATCTCATCATACACTCGTCCTGAAAACGAAGCCGGTATTAATTGCCGCTAGATGGCACCACTGCAGTCACACAAATCGTATGCTCGCTAAGCTATCTTACTATTGTGATTTTGAAAACCATAAACTACATAGGGGATTATTAAAGTTTTTTTGGAATCTTAGAAAAGTAGTTGATTTTTTCTTAAAACTAGAAATATCTGGTTTCAACGAAATACAAAAGAAATTAAACGAAACGTAAAATAATAGACAATTAGCCAAATTACGTTCCGTACAACGTATTTTACTTTAACTTACACAATCGCCAATAGGAACACTGCATCTTCTATGTTTCCATAGATATAACAGTTTTTTCTACGTTTTGCGTGCTGTACGTTCTACGGAACGTGGTTTCGCTAATTGCCTAATTTATAGGGCTTCCATCAGCCATTAAACAATCTATAAAATTAATGTTACGAACTTCCTCGCCTCGAATTTCATTACGCATTTTTCTTTGTCAACAAATCACTAATTATTAATTTTTAAGTAATGTTTTTGACTTTTCGCAAAACAAATGTAATTAATCCTACTCAGTAGTCAGTACTAACTACATTTCATTTTGTGTACATATTTTTTCAAGAACACCTCACTATTATTTTGGTGATAATAAAAATAATAAAACCCTAGAAATTCACGTGTTTCATATTGGTGTTTCTGAAATTCCGAAAATAATTTCTGGAAGTCTAAATTTACAAAAAAATCTCTAGGTAATTTCGAAGATGAGCAAAAAACGGTCGAAAATTTCATAAAAAGTTGGTTAAAAATTCACAAAAAATTGTAGACTCGACGTACTCATTCGAAAAATATAACGTGTTGTTGATCACGGACGAAAAATTTTAACTAGTCAATTTGAAAGTCATATTTTTTAAAAGCACAAAAATTGCCCTAATTTATATTGGCGGTTCTGAAAAATATGTTAGGGGTTTTCGAAGAAATGCAGCCGGAAATAACTTTTGGAGATCGAAATTTCCAAAAAATGTTTTTGGGTAATTTTTGAAAATGATATAAGTGTCGAAAATTTCATGAGTGGGAAGTATTGAAAAACTGAATTTTCGGAAAGGTTGCCTGAAAGATCACAAAAAATTGTGGAATAGATCTCGGCGTTCTCATTCGAAAATTATAGCGATCCCGGACCAAAAATTTTTTTTTAAATACAAAAAATAAATAAATGAAGTTAACAAATCCGTTGGGAAAACCTGTAGGCGAAATGTAATTATGATGAGATATTAGGTGGATGTCATGTATCAAGTGTGACAAGGTTGTTGTGTCGGCTTTTAATCGGGAAAACAACTGAGTAGACCTGTGAACTATTTTGCGAAAAGTAACGAGAACTACTAAAGTAAGCAAGGGGAACCTAGTGGTAACCAAAGAAACAATAAGAACAACAGGGGTGAGTTCCAACAAACATAACCTGTTCATGAAAACGGTGGAACCCTTGGTCAACAGAAACGGGCAAGTGGCGACATCGGTGAGCTAGACACCTGACCAGTGTGAGGGTGGGCCAAAATCTGAACCGAGTAGGAAATTGGCAAAACCACTCTCGCAACGTCCGGTGCTCAAGCAATAGAGGACGCGCCTAGCTGGGAAGCGGTGTCACCCCCACCTGTCTGTTCTGACCATCTGACGAAAATCACAACCAAGTCAAAACAAGATGAGCGCGGCAGAGCTAGCGGAGATCCGCGATATGTTCAAGATGATAAATGAAAAATTAACGTCCATTGAGGAGAAATTTGAAGACTGCAAAACAGAACTGAAAACGATCAAAAAAGAAAATGAAGAACTGAAAATAACCATCGCTGAGCAGGGAGAGAGGCTGGAAAATCTTGAAAAAGAGACCAGGAAAAGAAACATAGTAATAAAAGGCCTGGAAGACACAGCAGTTGAGAGCACTGGCGACTTACAAATGAAAATAGAAGAGCTTGTAGCTAGAATCGGTGTTTCACTAAACGGCAGTTTAGATATAAACGAAACATTTAGATTAGGTAAGTTTAGAGAAGGGAAAATAAGACCGATCTTAGTTAAACTGCAGTCATTCGACAAAAAAATTGAAATATACAAAAACGCTAAAAAGTTGAAAGACAGCAACATTTGGATAGACGACGATGTCACTAAGGCTGTTCAAGATATAAGAAGAAGATTAATTCCCCACTTAAAAGTAGCGCGGCAAAACGGGAAAAAAGCATTCCTAAAATACGACCAACTAATAATCGAAGGGGCTAAATACGGAATTAAACACTTCAACCAAGTAGACCAGGAAGAAATAAAATTTAAAAAGCGCACAGCAGCCGAACGTTCACCAGAAGAGGGATTTAAAACAAAATCACAAACAAAAAAGATATTCAAACCGAGTTAGCTTAGTTTAAATGTTTAAAAAAAAAAAAATAAAATAAAATAAAAAAAAAATGATATACTTATATAAAACTAAAAAAAAAAAAATTAAAAAAAAAAAGAGGAAAAAAAGGAAATAATAATTAAAAAAAAAAAAAATATATATATATGCATTTAGGGCTTGTCTGGAAGCCACAGTCGGCAATCCCGACACCAGAATCGGGCGCTACAGACCAATCATCTGTACGCCCTAAATTAACTGATTCCAGAAACTTCCACAAGAAATAACCGGACTGACCCTACGACGACGACAAACCGCAAGAATCAGGCTATACGAATTGGCTGCTGGAACGTGAACACCATGACAGAACCATCCCGGCTGGCACAAGTCTCAAGAGAAATGGGCAGGTATAAAATACACATCCTCGGGCTCAGCGAAACACGTTGGAAAGGAACTGGAGAACATGTGACAGGAAATGGCGACATCTTTTTGTACTCGGGGAAAAATCAGAGTGAGAAACATGAAAGCGGCGTTGGCATTCTAGTAACCAAGCAGATACGTAACTCCATAATAGACTGGAAACCGATAAATGACAGAATCATCACCGTACGAATCCAGACACAACATAAGAAAGTCAGTATAATCCAGTGTTATGCTCCTACAGAGGTAGCCGCTGTGGAAGACAAAGACACTTTCTACGACGTGTTGAGAGCCACGCTAGACAAGATTAAAAGAGGAGACATAATCTTTCTACTAGGTGACTTTAATGCGAAAGTAGGTTGCCACAACACAAATTTAGAGCACGTCATAGGAAAGCATGGATTGGGAATGAAAAATGATAACGGGGATAGACTCATTGATTTATGTAGCAGTCACGAAATGGTTATAGGTGGTACATTATTTCCGCATAAGGATATCCACAAAGCGACATGGAGATCCCCCGACCACCGCACCGCGAACCAAATAGACCACATCGCAGTTAGTAGCAGATGGAGACAAACGTTATTAGATGTAAGAAGCTACAGGGGCGCGGACATAGCAAGCGACCACTACCTGCTCATTAGCAGAATCAAGCTAAACACGATGAGAAAACTCCATGTACATAAATTAAATAGACCAAAATTCAACGTTGACCTTCTCAAGGAAGAAGCGATGGCAGAAAAATTCCAACAAGCGGTCCTAGAAAAAACTAATAATATAGGTATAGACGAAGAAAGTGGGAAAAGTTGGGAGACGGCCCGAAAAGCAATGCTCGCATCCGCCGAGCAAATTTTGGGAAGGAAACAAGGCGACAGAAAAGACTGGATTACCGATGAAACATGGGACAAAATCGGACTTCGTAAGGTAATACACAACAGCATGAACAACACAAGTGCAACGGAACAAAAAAACAAACTGAGGGAAGAATATAGAGCAGTAAACAAAGCAGTGAAAAAACTAGCCAGACGAGACAAAAGACAATGGGTAACAAACTTAGCGCAAGAAGCCGAAACAGCAGCTGTCCAAGGCAACTCGCGACAACTGTACAAAATCACCAGGCAATTAGCGAATAAGAATTTCGCCAATAACTGCTCAACTGTGAAAGACAAAAATGGCGAAAATCTCACCTCCACGACTGACCAAATAAACAGATGGTATGAACACTTCAACACTAGCTTAAGTACCCTCCCCGATGGAAACGAAGATATAAGTGAATCTCCAAATCCCTCAAACGATGCAAGAATTCCCACAACTGAACCAAGCTACGAAGAGGTCAAGAAAGCTATAAAACTTTTAAAATGTAACAAGGCAGCAGGCCCAGACAATATTCCTCCAGAATTACTGGTACATTGCCCGGACATCGTCGAGACCGTTATTTACCCACTTATAATAAATGTTTGGCAACAGGAAAAACTCCCTGATGACTGGAAAGAGGGGCTCATAGTAAAACTACCTAAGAAAGGTGACCTAACCTTATGCAAGAACTGGCGCGGCATTACACTGCTCAATGTAATAAACAAACTCGTCGGGACCATTCTGCATACCAGACTCGCGGATACACTAGAACCAACCCTACGAAGGGAACAAGCAGGTTTCAGGCCACACCGATCAACTATAGACCACATCAATACCTTACGCCTTATAGTAGAACAATCCCAAGAATTCCAAACATCGTTAGCACTATGTTTCGTCGACTTCGAAAGAGCATTCGACACGCTTCATCAGGAGGCAGTGTGGAAAATCCTGCAAAATAGAGGAGTCCCTGCAAAGATCGTCAACCTGATAAAAGAGATGTACCGCGGCGCAAACTGCAGAGTGATGCACAAGGGCAATATCAGTAAAGAAATAGCAGTAAGAAATGGGGTAAAACAAGGATGTGTTCTGTCACCACTGCTATTTAACATATGCTTAGACCATGTCATGAAGAAAATAAATGACACAGCAAGCGGTATTCGGTGGGGCATGGTAAGCAGACTCGGCGATCTAGAATATGCAGATGACATCTGTCTCATCTCACAGTCCGTACGAGCGATGGCACATAAACTAACCAGATTAAGCGATGAAGCAGAGAAGATAGGATTGAAGATCAACATCCAGAAAACAAAAGAGATGCGCATGCGAATTCAAGACGACAGAGAACTACGTTTGAAGAACACGGTAATCGAACAAGTACA